CGGGCCTCGCTGAGGCCCCCCGGGCACAGAACCCGCTCTCGGTGGCCGCCGGGGACACCTGGGCACGCACTGCCCCGGGAACAGGCCACCTGAGACGCCGGTGGATGGAGCCACCTGCCCCGGAAAGCCGGGGCTGCGGGAGGAACCCAGGAACCCCAAGAGGCGGCAAGCGAGCCGAGCCGAGGTGGGCCGGCGGGCTGTGGGCCGGGCTGCAGCAGCCGGCTTGGGTGGAAACGCGAACGCAGCCGGTGAGACAAACACACCGGGAAAATAAAGGAAACGCACGAGCGGGTGTCCGGGGAGCCGGACCGAGCGGTAACTGGCATCGCCCTGCAAACAGACACCTGCTGTGCTGCGGCCCGGCCCTGTGCTCCACACTAACTCGGGGACACCAGGAGAGCACTAACTCGGGGACACCAGGAGACCCGCCTGGAAGTCCACAGAAGCGCGATTCTAACTGCAAGAACAGAATGGTCTGCGCCATTCCCAAGGCAGAGCAGGGGTGAAAGTCTCAGCGCCATCAAGCAGTTGTAGCCACTGCGGGACGAGTTTGATCCCCGGACAGGGAGGTGACCCCCATGGCGCGGCAGACCTCTCCTGTCTCCCCGCTGCTCCCCTCAGCAGTGGGTTTCAGTAGATCTGCCTGTTCTGCTCCCTGCTGTCTCTGGTGAATCCTCTCACCCCTGTACCTCTGGCCTGTACCCCAGTTCTGTATGCATAAATAAATACATCTTTAAAAAAAAACAACTTTAAAAATAAAATAAAATGCTGAGACAATCCAAGGCTCACGGTATTGCTATTCACTATCACATAGGTCACAGGTCAGCTTTAAAATTGACTTTTTCTGGACCCTCCCTGGTGGCACAGCGGGTTAAAGCACAGCACTGAGAAGCTAAAGCCACTTCCGCTTGAGTTCAATCCCCAACTGCCCCGGAGGTGACTACATGGTGTGGCAGACCTCTCCTGACCCGCCCGCTGCTCCCCTCAGCAGTGTACTTAGACATTCTGCTCCCCACTCTGTCTCTGGTGAAGCCTCTCTGGCACCTGCAGCTCTGGCCTGTGCCCCAGCTCTGCATGCACAAATAAAAAAAAAATCTCTAAAAAAAATTGAGTTTTTCTGCCATTAAATGAGAGGCGACTAGATACAGCGCAGGTATACAATGAATCCTTCTGTAACAGGCTGGTCCCCAGGGAAAGGGGGGGGGGGCTTCCAGGTTCCCTGACCCACCTAAGGGAGGGTGGAGCTGAGCAGGGAGGAGGAGAAGCCAGAGAGGAGGTGAGGAGGAAGGAAGCAGGTGGAGCCAGAAGGAGACCTGAGGGGGGGGGGTGCCTGCAGGGCTGGTGAAGAAGGCGCACCCACCTTCATCAAGTCCACGGCATCTTGCGCATCCCTTTCAAAGAAGTCCACGGGGAAGTCCCGGTCCGGGGGCCTGGAACGGCCGTACCCGCGCGGGTCCCAGGCCACCACCGTGAAGCGCTCCTTATTCAGGCCCTTAATCTGAGGTCCGAAGTCAGTCTCTCCACACCCTGAAACAGTCACTCGGTCATCCTCAAGCGCATGCTTCCGCGGCCGCAAACGCACTGCGGTCAGCACAGAAAGTCACGATTTTGAAACAAAGTCACTCTCTACCAGGGCCGTCACCACATTGCACCCCGGGGAGTCCTGCAGGGAGGGCTCCCGCCCGCCGGCAGTGCAGACCGGCCTCTTGTCTCCCTCTAGCGGCTACTTTGAGAAGGGCCGAGACCTGATGCTTCACTGGGTCTTGGAATATTTAAGCACTTTCGATACTTCCTCGGCTTAATCTTCGTTTTGGAAATAGAAGAATTTCTGAAACTGAGTGGAGATATACTTACTAGTACTACACACTTTGGAAGTGTTATTTTTGCATTTTATATCTGGCTGTTACAAATGAGAGTGGCCCCAATACCTGTGGACAAATTTATGACATTTGGTCTAAGTCAAAGTAGAAAGCTAAAACCCCAGACGTTTGCTTACTAAGCTCATGCGCATAGCTCTGATGGCTTCATTTTCTGATTATAATCAGACAGGAGAAAATCAAACTAGAAACCAAAACGAGGGGAGGGCGGGGTGCGAGGGAAGACGGCCAACTCGTGTGCTTCACCAACAGTATAGGACAGCAAACGTTAACCAGCAGAGCCAGGCTCTGGGGCTGGTGGGGGCTGGACCTGGCCGGCGGAGCACAGCCCACCGCGAGGTCACGGCCACTGCTGGCCTGTTTCGAGGCTGGAGCCAAGAAAACTAGGGCTTGAAACAAAGTTATTTCAGGGAACAGTCACAAGGACGTGATCCCCGTTTGGAAGTGGTGCGGGGTGGGGGCTGCAAGCTGGAAGCGGGAACACTCCAGTATCTCAGCACGCAACAACAGGAATCTAAGCTGGCCAGCTGGCCGCTGCTTGTCCAGGTGAGTGAGCGCTCCACCGGCCTTTGGGTAAAGGTCTGGCTCCGAGACGACAGCGTAAGACGCTCAACCTCTCTGCCCACGATGCCGCAGCTGCGCCGGTCAGCTCAGGCCAGCCGGGAAGCAGGACGTGCCTGCCGGTCTCAGCAGTCTGCGTTTAGAACCAAGAGTCGCAAGCAAACATGTCCATTCTGGGGCCATTTAAATGAAAAAGGGACGCAAACTTGCCACGTGCCGCGGTCACAGGACAGCCCCCCTCCCCCTTTCCGGCAGTCACCTGACCGCGCGGCCAGGTGAGCTGCGGACCAGCCACTTCCAACCTGGCCTGCCACTCCAGTCCCGGTTTTCAAAAAGGCTCAAGGCTAAGTCTCGCTCCCAACTCACTGTAACTGGACATACAATCACCGCACCAGGGCCGCCAGTCCGGCCTCCTGCGTGGAAAGACCCCCTCAATTCCAGGCAAGTGGGGTGATTCCATCGCCTACCCCTGGCCTGCCACCCGCCCCCCAACTGTAAGCAACTCTCAGGAGCACCTGCGCAGGAAAAACTGGGTATCTGAAGCAACAAAAGCCACACACAGAGGCTTATCCAAACGAGCTAGCTGTGACTGCAGCAAGTACTAGAGCAAAGCCCCGGCTGACCACCCACACTGGCAGGACACACACAAGCCACGCATCTCATCAAAAACCTGCAGACCCAGCATGCCAGGAAGCAGCAGGACGGCGTGCTTGCCCCTTCCGGTCCGCTGATAGTGCAGGTGGACGCCGTTCACAGCCACCTTGGCGGAGGTCACTGAGGTGCTGGAAGAGAAAGACCCACCCCCCGGGGAAAATCGGTGAGCGGGAAGGGAAGGCGACGTGGCCAGCCGCCTCCCGGCCCTTCCTCGGGCTTCGCGGTCATGCTGACGCCGCTTTTCTGAACCTGAAAGGGACGTGAGCTTGTCACTTCCCTCCCAGACAGCGGACCTGGGCGCCGTCTGGCCCTGCTGCAGCACCAGCTCAGGGCTAACCCTGAGAAGGGGCCGGGGCCACACCCCCACCCCCGCACCTCTGGGCCTGTTCCCAGGCCTGAGCCCGTGGCCAGTGTGGCCAGCGATGTCCCACACCTCCGCACTCTGCAGGGTTAGCCCTGAGCTGGCACCGCAGCACGTCCAGAATCCAGATCCGCTGCTAGGGCGCTGACAGGCCCTGCAGCTGCGCCACGCTCGCGGCCGAGGGGCGGACTGGTGACATTCCCGAGGCGGCGGCGGGTGCCCAGGCCCACGGGGAAGCTGCACCCGTAGACGTCACACGTAGGGCGCCTCTGGCTCCAGCCTGCTGCACGCCGCCAGCCAGGAACGCCGGGCTGCTTTTCCCAAGGCTGAGGCTTTCTGCTGGCTGCAAGGAGCCGGCTCAGTAGCCGCCCAGCTCAGGAGGCCCCAGGGCCTCCTGCCACAAGCATCTAGGGGGCCAGCTGGATGGCGAAGGGCTCGGCGGGGCTCCTGGGGGGTCTGTCCTGACTGACAGGTGTGGGTGTTCGCTGGGTAACTGCTGCTCCGTGGCCCTTTCAGAGGTTCCACAACAACCACGTGGGCGACGCAGCAACAGAGCACGTGAGAGGCCCGGCTTCACGCTCCCACGGCCTCCCCGCAGCCCCCCAGAGGGCCGGGAGCCGGACAGGGGTACACGGCGGCCAGGCAGGGCAAGGGCAGACGGCAACGATGTCAAAACAAACACGCTTTGCTTTTTGTGCTCCTACCCTATCCTCTGCCCTTAGTCAGTTTGGGGGGTAATGAGGTCTTTTTTCTTTTCATCTTACCCACCAGTTTTTTCTTTTTTTTTAAAGAAAGTTTATGCACACAAGAACTAGGGTACAGGCCAGAGGTGTCGGGGGTGAGAGGGTTCACCAGAGCGTGGAGAGCAGAACAGGCAGACTGAGCTTAACACACTGCTGAGGGGGGCGGCGGGGAGACAGGAGGGGTCTGCTGCGCCCTGTGGGTCACTCCCTGGCCGGGGATCGAGCTCGTGCTGCAGCGGCTGCAGACAGCCTCACAGTGCTGAGACTTAACCGCCTGTACCACCAGGGAGGGCCCTTACCCAGCAATATGAGGAAGGCTGAGGACAGAAACTCAAACCTTTCCGGGGAAAAAGCGACTGTAATGGGGAGCAGTGGGCAAGACAACCCAAAGCGCGTCACCTACAAAAGCCGAGGTGCAGGGCTGCCCCCCGCAGTCACAGTCGCTGTGGCACAGCCGGATTCACCGTATTTACGCCTCAGGGCTCAGAGTTTCATGTTTACTGTCAACAGGCCGCCAGGAGCAAGACAAGAGCAAAAATACTAATGACGACTCCGCTCTGCAAGTGTTTGCTTTCTGGCGTCTCTGCTTTGCTCACCAGGTGGTAGAGGAAGAAGCCACAGGTTCCCTGGGCCCCAGGGCTGGCACGGGCAGGGCACTCCCTGACCGTGTGGGCCGCTCCCGGGAGAGGTGGCAGAGTCCAGTCCTGCGGGCCCCTGCGGCATCTGGTGAGCTTGCAGACGCAGCTCTGCCCGCGAGGCCCGACCCCACCACTCTCCTGGGGCATTTGCTGACTTCCGCTTTGGCAGCGCCCTCAGACTCACAGAGATCGGTGGTAGCGTCCGCGTCTCTTCAGGCGCCATGCGCCATTAAGTCAAAATGTCTGGTGGAGGTGACCACGGTGCGGCACAGCCACACTGAGAAGCCTCTTGGAGCGGAGAGGAAAGTCTCACGCCCTTTCCCAAACGGCCTATCCGAAGGAGGCCACACCTGGGCGCCCCCTGCACCTCAGACACGCCCTGGCCACCGTTCCCGGAGGGCCACAGGCACTCGGTCAGCGGGAAGGCGGTCAGGATATGATGGGGGCTCAGCGTCTCCCCTCAAAGGTAGGAGAGCTCCCTGTGGAGGAAGGTGATCACTTAACAACTCAGGGCAAATGATTAGACTGAACCCTCAAAACGGAATCAATCATTTATCATTTAAACAGACTGAACCCCCAACTGGGGCCAACCATTTAATTAGACTGGACCCCCAAACTGGAGCCAATCATTTAATTAGACTGAATCCCCAAACTGGAGCCAATCATTTAATTAGACTGAATCCCCAAACTGGAGCCAATCATTTAATTAGACTGAACCCCCAAACTGGAGCCAATCACTTAATTAGACT